GCATTTGCGACCAAATTGGTCGCACTCTAGAGCCCTGGACAGTCACGTTTTTCAATTTATACATGCGCATAAATTTAAAAACTCAACAGCCATATCTTTTTAAACTGTGCCTAACAGTTGTTTGAGTTGCATAATATGCTTAACTTTTTTCATCCTTATTTTGAGTGTGTATGCATGGAGTTAAATTGCTTTTGACAGACCAATCCTGGCCTCTGTTTTTTTTTTTTCAGTTTTCATATATATAAACAAAAGTCAGGATTGGTCTGTCAAAAGCAATTTAACTCCATGTATACACACTCAAAATAAGGATGAAAAAAGTTAAGCATATTATGCAACTCAAACACCTGTTAGGCACAGTTTAAAAAGGGCATGTGTCTTGGAGCTGGTGTGTGATAGTATTCATGAATCAGGGGAGATGCAGATGAAGACCCTATGAATATTTTAGGGCGGAAGCCCAGTAAACAAGTGCAGATAACATTAGCATAAACATAAAGTTCAGTGAAAGGCTGAAACGGGAGAGTCACAGAGGAAAATCACATTTTGTGATTGAAGATGTGTTGATTGGACCACTGAGTGAGAATCATGAAGATAGAGCAGCCGCTGCTTCGCTAGTCTGGAAGTAAAATGCTGTGAGGCAGCATCCTGAGGGCCATGAAAGTGTATAAACAGTCTTAGATCACAGCAATAAAACAGAAACTCACCAACACAGGCAGGAAATTAATCCAGCCTGCTCTGTTATCTCGAGAAGCCAGAAAGCTCTCTCTGCTCCTGCCTCTCTGACACTTTCTACACCAGGTATCGTTTGCATTTTTATTAGTTTTTCTTTGATACTTCCTTCTATTTTAACTTGGTTCATTTCTTTTTCAGTATCTGGCACTCCAACATAGTTTTTTGTTTTGTTTTTTTACTTTATCAGTGGTTAATTGCAAACAGAAATAAGATGTTTTTTTAAATGCTTACTTTCACTAAGACATTTAACAATGAAAGCCACATTTCAGTGTACTCTTGCCTGAATTTTCAGGCTAATTTCTGATATTTAATCCATGACTGATTAATTTCTAATGCCAAATTTGAATGATGTTTCACTGATGTTTTTCAAAATGATTCACAGGAGTCATCAGGAACATTGTAGACTAAAAATAAATCAAAGGTTTAAATGTTTATACCAGTTATTCAACATCATTTTCTGAATTAATTTTACAGAATTATTTAAGAATTATTTTTCAAGACTGTTAAACACTTTTCAGAATGACTCCCAGTTTCCTGGGAAAACCCATCAAACTGTCATGGTCCCGGTGCCTCCCCAGCCAGCCCAGTTTGGCCACAAGTGTTTGTTGTTTTGCTCTCTCTGCTCTCCTCGCCTTGCTCTCTCTCTCTCTTGCCTGTCTGGGCGGGGCTCAGATTGGGCTCCCGCCCTTGGCCTACGCACCTGCAGCTGATCACCGGTGATTTGCAGTTGATCTCTGGCTCTTCTTAAGGCAGGGGCTCTGAGCTACTCGTTGCTGGAATATTGAGTAACTCTCGTGAGTATTGCCCAGCTCTATAAACTCTGTCAGATGCCAAGCCCTGATTCTGTTGTTCCCGTTCTTGCCTTGGATTAATCCTCGTCTCTGTAAATAGGTTTATCTGGATCTGCCCTCATTTGTGACCCCTGGACCCCGTGCATGAGAGTGGAGCTGCTTGTGTGGAGATTGTGTGGACAAGGAGTGGAGCGAGTATGAAGGCATGTGTTTCCCCAACCTGTTGACCCCTGGGACCCTGGTGTTCCCCCCCCTCACGTGTATATAGCACACCAGTGTGATTAATAAAGAACTGTTTGAACCGTGCTTTCTCAGTCTGCGCCTGAGTCCGTTCTACTGCCGTGACACAGGCTACATTTTGTTTATGACTTTCTGACTTGCGTTGTTGTGAGGCTTGTCTTTTGTGTCAGCTCTGTTTGTGTAAACTGTGTGTCACAGAAATAAAAGGCTGCTGTGGGGTGATGGTTCTTCGAAGTGGTCTGACACCGAGGGCAGAAGGGCTTCTCTGAGATCCTTCCCTTGCTATAGCGTGTGAAAAACCGGTTAAGCTGTTTGTCTTGCTTCGTTAACGGGAATAAGTCTCTAAACCAGCGGGCCTGTGGAAGCGCGGACCCAACAATTTCCTTTTCCTCTATCAGATTACCTTAATAGGTCTGTGACGTCTATACACAGCCCAACAGAGCTCGGCTTTCTTTGTGTTAGCTGGGTTAAAAGAAATCCTCAAAACTCTGTCAGAGATTATGTGTCTCAAAGGTAATTGGTGTATCACACCAGCGGTCATCACTTTCTTTCCTAACCCAGGCTTTTTGCTTCATATTCTGTGCATGCTCACATAAAAGGGACATTTTACGAGTCCTATAACTCCTCTTCCACACAAAATGATCTCCTTGTTCATGTCACCTGCCCCAGTCAGAGATGTTAATAAAGGAAAATAATTCAACGGTGACATAAAAAGACTATAAAAAACATAGCATTAAAACGCTAAATTAACTAAAGTATAACTCAGGTTTATTATTTTAACATTGAGTAAATTTTTGATCCTGCTGTTTATTCCTATCGTGAGAGCTGAATACTTTAAATGTCAAAGTTTACTGTCTCATAGTCTAATGAAGGAGAAGTGGAAATTGTTTTAGTTTGTCGGCAAATCAAAGTGAAAGTAATTTTATTGATTGAACAGGTGTTCCCGGCCTGTGTTCTGTGTTCTAGTAGCTGCAATTTCAGCAGTGTGAAAGCAACTTGGAGCAGACTAGAATTAAGTTTATTACAATAAAGACTTTTATGCTTTTTCTGCATCAACAACTAACTACGTGCAAATTCTAGAGATATTACAATGCACAGTTTGTATTGCTGTTTACCGATGGGTTTCATTTGCAATGTTAGTAAAGCTTAAGAACTTGCACATATAAAACATACTCACCCAGCACTCGAAAGATGCTCTAAATAAAAAAATTATAGATTTGATTTAGTTAAAAGATTTAATAAAAATTTAAGATTATGTGTTCGGCATGATTTAGCCAGGTAAAAAACAGCCATTGAAAACTTAGATTATAAACTCGACATATCTTGCCAACCTAGCCAGAATCCTCTGGTTTGTTATGCAATTTGTTATATGAATAGAATAACTACCTATGTACCAAATCTTGAATTAACAAATAAAATTTTAATTTTTATCTGGTCTTCCAAGTTGCATTTCAGTCCTCTTTAGGATGTCACAGTTTGCAGGATTATTGGACACTGGGATTAATTAACTGCAGAAGTCTTCCCAAATATTGATATAGTCATAGTTTTTGCTAATCTTTAAGGATCTTTAGGGATTTTTTTGTTTTTATTTTAGCTTCTACAGTTATCTTAGACTTTGGTTTTTCCTTGTTTTTCAGTAAAATATATGTCTGTAGGTTGTAAGATCTGAACCACATAAAAACATGCATACACGCAAGCCATACCTACCCACATCATGAATGAAGCGTTCAATCTTAGACTGCATGCCCCAGTATCTGAACTCTACTTTGCACAGCTTGTAGGCACACATGACGGAACTCTGACCCGGGTTCAGGCCAATTTCCTCAATCCAGTCCTCTGACAATGGACCCCGTTTAGTCTTGACTGACTGATACAGCTTAGGGTCTTCTTCCACGAGGTACTCATGAGGAGGTATGTAGTCCTTGACGATGTCTATGGGGTCTACAAGGGAAACAAAAACATAATGAATTGCTAAACTGAGGCAGATTCAAGCAGCAGGTATGTCTCAATGTCCTCACTCACCTCAAGAAAAGAATGTGATTTTATGTGTGTGTCTTTTATGTAATCAGTCCCTGCCGGGATCGTGTCTGGAGCTGACTGCACATTTTCCCTGCACCCCAGTGAATTTTAGTATGCGGAGGCTCAACACAAGCTCTTACACTCCACAGCCTACATCCCCTCTGCACCACACTGTCAGCGCTTTCATTGGAAATAACTCTGTGTAAATTCGATTTCTGATCCTGCTTATGAGGAGACGACGACCAGGCAGTTGATCCCAGAGGCACAATTTTAGCGTAATGGTGCAGAGAGAGTGAGTTTTTAAGTGTGCATGACGATAAACTTACCAATAGTCCTCTGTCTTTTCTCAGCAGAGGACATATTGAAGACATCCACTTGATTTCCAGTATCTGGTTTATAATAAGTCTCAATGTCTATAGAAAATTTCTCAACAAAGGGACAGGTATACCTGAGGAAAGAAAAAGAAATTGTTGCTTTGGATGGAAAAGCAATATGAGCAGCTGGGTCTCCAGAAGTAGAGCCAGTTATCTACAAGATGGGAGGTTGATGGCTCAATCCCTCTAGGGGAACTATGCTCCCCTAGTTTACATATCAAAGTACCCTTGGGCAAGATGCCAAGCCCTGAATTGACCTCAAAGTATCCATCAGAGTGTGAGTGTCAATGTGTAAGAATGTTTATTAAGTGCTTAGAAGCAGAAAAGAGCAGTTTATATAAAGCAGTATTAGTAGTGCAAGTGTATATGACAGGGTGAATGAGCCTTGTAGTAAGAAAACGCTTTGAGCACAAAAGCGCTGTACCAGTATTTGCTATTGAAAGTAATAATCCTAATTTCCACTTCAAAATCATATGAAGTGTGAATGCAGTGTCATAATCTAGGATTGTCAGAGGCAATAGTGAAAAGCTGCTCTGGCATCTTCACATGGTTGAAACAATACAAAAACCAGTGTTTGGGTTCTTTTCTAGAAGTCATTGGTGGTGTCATGCATCAGTTAACAGGATCCTTCCTCCCAAGTCAATATTAGATCTCGTGACCCCCCCAATGATGCATAGGCAATTAGATATCTTCAAGTGAAAGTCAACAGAAACCAAGCACAACAATTCACTGAATATCCCATGCTCAGCATCCTTTCAAGAAATTGCAATGGACTGCATTTTAATGCTGGAGTAAAGTGCAGCACCTGTAAGCAGTACTTGCAGAGCTCATGTAAAATGCTGCAAATCAGCATCAGTTGTAAAGTAAAAAGTGGTGCCAATAAAATTCCCTTAACACTTGATGGGCTTAGAAAGCAGTTGGAGTGGCTGGTTCCAACACATTAAGTCATCAGGATGATATTCAAAGTTGGCAGCAAATGAATATGTGGTCATGCAGCTGAAGTTGTTGTATTTAAAAAAGAAGAAAGAAAGAAAGAACACACTGCCATCAGCAGATAATAATAAAAAGAACATAATAAAAACCATTAACAACATTTTATCTCTGAAAGGTCAGCATTTCTACTTCAGATAAAGTAGATGTAACGTATGCTTAAGCATTAAGAGGGAGCGACTGTTTTACAAGAGGCACAGGGGGACAGTTTTATAATGTGTTCCCCGGAAATAAAATTCCATCACTTATTTTATTTTCTGTATCTGTAGTTCCCTCACCGGGTTCGCGTATATGGGTAAGCATTCCAAGACTCCTCTTCCACTCGAAGGGCAGCTTGAGGCAGAATGGCACAGAACCAGGATGGGATGTGTTTGCCGATGTGATAGACCTTGTGAGTGTACTGACCCGAGCCGCCAGGGCCGTCCTCATATGGTTTGTTCTCCAGGATCTCCACCCCACTGCCCTCACCACAACTTTCTTGTCTGCTCTTTTTCTGCAAGACAGCAAATATGAAGAGGTCTAAAGTATAAAGTTGTTGAGATTAATCAAGATGCAAAAAAAGTCAGTAAATAGTATGTGTAAAAGTACTCAATATACAGCCACAATGGTGTTCACGTTAGAGTATTACATTAGTATCACATACAAACATTATATTAATAATAATGATGTAGCATCAGCTAATTTTATATGTATTTGCATGTTATACTCTACTGGACTCCAAAAGTGTTGGATCACATCAAAACCCAAGATATTTATTTGTGAGCCTAGAATTCAGAAATATTTCAAAACACAAGAGATGAAATGCAAAAAGAACTTCAGACAATTAAAACAAATTTTCTCAGTGACCATAATTCCTTAGTACAAAAGGTCAGATTCCCTCAAGTTATATTTTTGTCTATATAAGCAGTGTTCAGACGAAGCTCAGGTAGAAGCTCACATACAGTTAGGTCCATAAGGACACAGTTTGTCTCTGTACACCACCTCAGCAGTATTTCCAACAAAATGTCCAACACTGGAAATATACTGCAGTAACAGAAAGAGATTTCCACCTGCCTGAACATGTTGAATATTATGACAATGGCTATCATCACTGACATTACAAGAATTCATTTGTTACACGTTACAGTTCTGTTTCCTCTTTATTAGGGGTGTGATTGTACACTTTAGATCCTGCCTCCAACATACAAAACCTCCATGACTTCACTTCCACTTTCCCATGCTGTAAAACTCAGTGCTGACATCATTGCTGTAGTCCAATCATCTTTCTGCCTCCCTTCACTCTGAGTGAACTCAGCCCACCTTCAATCAGTCTCCTCTCTGCATATTTTAAATCACACCACTCATCTTTCATTCTCCCTTGCAGACTCCTTCGTGCAACCCAACTCCCCCTCATCTCTGCCTTACGCAAGTCACTTCATCCAAGTTTTCAACTTATCTTCATCACCACCAGCGTCTAGACTCCAAGGGATCCAGTCCTAATTCATTTTATTCTACTGTGATGGGTCATCGGCATCTAATCGCCAAATACCATAACTTAAAATCATCATGAATTATGTTTAGTTCTCTCTATTGATCTCTCCTCAGTGAAATAAGACATATCCCAAAAGAGCACCTTTGTTAACTAAGAGTGGTGTAATTTCAAAAAACACTTTTTTCTTTGTTAATTTCAATGAATGGCTTAAATAAGCATGTCTCTTTGAAAATAACTCTGTTCCTTCATATTCTATAAAGAGCCAAGAGTGTTTCTTATCATTAATATCCTGTCAACTATGGTATGTTTTTAGGGGACTAATAAATCGAAATAACAGATCACTTGCAAAAACTGGTATCACAAGCTTTTTATACTGCTGAATGATAAAGGTCCTTAAATTGTACTTTTCCTGGCTCAGACCTTGGTTTTGATTAATGAACAACTTGCAGCTGGGGCTGGTGTCCACACACTCGCTTCTTTCTATAAACTTCCAATTAAACCCCTGCTAGCCTTACGCAGCACTCCTGTCTGTCACTGCCCAACCTTGTGATTACATCACAGAGCTGGATGATGCAGCAGAGCCGATGTGATGAGGTGGAAAGAAAAAGCTGCCACATGGAACAAGAAAGGTCTGCCTCTCCATTATATAAGACACCAGTTTTCTCTACTTCGCCCCCCCTATCCCTCTACTTTTCAGAGTTTTCCATCTTCTTTGGCTTTGAACGACACCTCTGTTTGATGTTACACTGTGAAATTCTTTTTCACTTTAATTTTATAAGAGTTATGTTAACAGCAAATTCAGTTTGCGTATTTTGAGTAGATCTTGCTTTAAATGCAGAATTTTGCAGATTTTCCTCAGGTTAGGAGGATCCTCCTCATTAGGAGGAGCTTTCAGGTGTTTTATGAAGTCTCAGTCCTAGCTCATCACTGAAAGAGGAAAGCTGAGTCAGCGTGATCTAGTCTGAGCAGATTATCTGATCTGATGCCTTATGCTAAATGGGAATATTAGTAGGATAGTCTTCGACCTGTTCTAGATGATAATAGGTTTGTAGAAAATATTGTTTTAGGGCAAAAAACTGAATAAAAGCTCATTGGTTACCGGGTGGTTGCACAAATTTCTTTTCACATTTGGTGAATGATTTCAAGTAGCTGCAAAAAGCAACTAGTCACCCAGAAGTTGAGCGTGCAACACAACACCTCTGGCCAACCACTTTTGATCAAAAGCCGATTTCACAGGTCACTTAGTGGGAAGCAAAATATTTGTTACCAAAAAAGTCAGTTCATTACAAATTAAGGTTTGGATTTCAATAGAATATCCTGAAATACCAACCAAAACAATACATTTCTAATTGTATTTTTTACGCATCTATATAATAACAATCTGAGAAGTGCATAACAGTAGATCATACAGTAATATTTTGAATCTGTTATAAACCTCGCATCTTTTCATCTAATCCAGACTAAATGAGACAGACATAGGGGAGGTAAAATCAGCATGTAACTTCCTCCAATAAAAGGCAGCAGATGGTTCAGCCACATAGATCCCACCGAGTGTTGTATTAATCCTGTTGCTCTACAGACAACTGGTCTGGAATTACAGTTTCCGTTTATAAAGAGCCTACATCTCCTTACAAGGCTCTCCTTTTGTACACATCCACCTTTATGGGGCTTATTAAATATATGAAAACCCTCCAGGATCTGATATTAGAAGCTCAGTTACCTACATAAGAATCACAATCTACCAGGGTGGAAAGTGAACTTAAAATTTTAACATCTGCCAGCCACTGGCAGGCAAATGTTCACATTCACACAGTAAAGGATTGTTTGGTGTTTAAAACCACTTTTATATTTTACCATCCTTTGGCTTGTGACTGGAGCTAATTTCCAAAATGACTGCCGTGATTACATGAGAGATATCCATATTACTGGATTTAGTTCTTTAGTTTTCCAGAGGGTCAGCGACTTTCATGTAACCTGCCATGCTTGGTTGAATATTTCAGACATAATAACACTGGTGCAAAACTATAGCTGGGCAGACTCATATTGGAACAGAAAACATTGAAATTGGAGTCTTGAAAAAAAAAGAAAAAGAAACTTTATTACCCCCAGCTAATAACTATCCAAGTCAGCACTGACACCATGGGTGCATACATGTTTCATATAAACAATAGTCTACAATACTGGAAAATAAAAGAACTTTCCAAAAGAATATGTGATAATATGTTTATCTTTTTATACTTCTATATGTCTATAAGGACACTGATAAAGGGCATGGCTGCTATAATACACAGGTGTGCCAACAAAGGGAACAACAGTATCGCTGATTTGTATCTGCTAAGCCTGATCTTTGCTAATTCTAGTCACTGAAATGGACATGTTGATGTGTTTGTGGCGATAGCACCTTTTGGAGCACAAATAGAATGTTTTGCTGTGTGGCACAGCTAGAAAAAGACAGCTGCACTTCAGTTTTGTTGAGTGAAATTCTACGATTTTATTTGTCTGATACTAATGCACCATTACCAATCTGCTTCTCTTTGTTGGATCCACATAGATTGTGGATGGCGATGCAACCCAAACTTCCTGCTAAGTCATCTGCTCTTTTGCTCTCTGTTATCTGGCTCCAAAAGTTAACACGGCAAAAGTAAGAGCACTGATATTTCAAATTTTTTGAAACATGATTGAAAAGGCATTTCATTCCTGCCACTGTAATATGCTGCAGGTCGAGGAACGCACAACATGAATACAAATCATCATGATCATTACTAACGGCAAGAGTGGGGTGTTCAGGGTCAAGAAGGAGAGCTCAGATTGCAAAATGAGCTCTCTCTACTGAAGACTTTAGGGAGGTAATATCAGTAATGAAGGTCAGAGGAGGCAAACAGCTGGAAAATTGTAATAATCTAGCAGGTAATGTAATTTAGGTGAGGAGCTAAGAGCCTCAAATTACCATCCTTCTGCCTGCATACCTTCTGGGAAGTGAGCACACAGGATCTGTATTAATAACACTCATCTTCAATCCCAGAGCAGAAAAGAGGTACAGTGTAGAATATACAGGGTGCTCTGTGAATCTTTATTAAAACATAGGTAATCCTGGGGAATGTTGAGCCTGACATAAAGTTAAAGCTGTTCCTTTACACAGCATCTAAGACAGTGAAGGTAAAAATACTCAACTTGAGGGTTCACAACAGGACTTCTCTGAACAATGGGTAGCTGGGGCCATCTTTAAGATACAGTTTATGCACAGAAAAACATGAATGGTTTTTACTTAAACTGGCTGTAATAAAGTGTCTGAAAAGCCAAATTAATGGCTTTGTCAGTGGTGATTGAACTACTGAGTCTCTACAGGTGCTATTGATGGAGTTTGACAACATTAGATTACATTAATTAGATTGCATCTAATTAGCAGTTAATACGTGAAAACTTAATAAGTGAAAACTCAGAATTTGAATGCATTTCATTTGTCAGCTCAAATTCAAAAAATTGTATAGTTTACTAAGCTTTGCTCTGCAAAAAACTTTAAAACAATTTTATTGTTTTACTAGCAATAATATCTGATTCTAAAACAGGACACATACACTCTACTTGGAGACCTCATATCATTTGTGTATAGACTAAGCCTATGTTTGAATTCTGTTTTTATTTTTAATCTTTATTATCAAACCCTTAAAAATCCTTATTTTACCCCTCTGTGAACTAAACCACCAGACTAACGGTTTTCTGCAGCATTCATCTCTTGTCCTTTTTATAATAGTGTTGCACTTGACTGTTATATTTTTATGTTTCTTATAGATTTTTAATCATGTTGTAGGTGGCACTCATAGGGATCATTTTCTGTGGAAGAAAAATCATATTACCCATGAAACAATCCTTTTAGATTGGGACTGCCAACACCACCTCTTTCATGTGCGCACAAGAAAACCCTGGGTTAATTTACCGAATTGATAACCAGCTTAACTTGACTGCTTATTCTGATTGTCAACAATAGGGTAAGTGAATACAGCTAACAAAAAGATACCCTGGATATGTTGAGCTGGCTAGTACAGGGCCAAATATATTTCTGTCACTTCAGAGTTCAGTTTTATCAGTTTTATCTTCAGAGTTGAAGATAACTCTCTTTCTAGAACAGAAAAGCTTTAGTTTCCCCCTACTCAGGTTTAACAAACTCAGAGTTGTTAGCTGAAGCCCTGCACTGCTGTATTGGACTATATCCCCCTTTCAGCCCTTGCTGAATAACACAACCCGTAGACATGAGTGCAGACATACTGAGTAAATAGAAAAAGGACAAGCTCCAGGTTTCCTTGGAGATCTTACATAACCGTTTAACAGTCATGTCTGCTTACTTCTCAAATATTGTTTCTAATAACAGTCACAGGCCTCAATTGCTCTTTAGTATTTTTAATTCTGTCTTGGTGAGAAGCGGTGTAATGTTGATCAGGTTGTGTTTTCTGCTTTCAGATTTTCATCACATCTGGCTGGTAATTCCAAATTGCCCATAGGTGTGAATGTGAGAGTGAATGCTAGTCTGTATCTCTGTGTTTGCCCTGCAACAGACTGCCAACCTGTCCAAGGTGTACCCTGCCTCTCGCCCTATAGCAGGTGGGATAGGCTCAAGTTCTTCCTCCAGTGTGACATCACTTTAGATTATTGCATTTTATGGTCTGCATTTATTTTATTTTATTTGATCTTATTTTATTTATTGTCTTTTAATGTGGTGTGTTGGATTCTATTTTACTGAATTTTAAAACTTTTACTTGGCTATATATTTTCATTTACAACACTTTGTTGAACTCTGTTATTCTAAATGCACTATATAAATACATTTGTGTTATATAAATAAATTTGACCTTGACTTTATCTGTATGTCCAGTTTGAGAACTGCTGCTAGCTTATGCAGACACTCGGACGACTCCCTCTGTGAATTGTAATAACCCAGCTTTGCTGAGGGTCGTGATTCCGCCAGGCTGAAGTGTCCCTGAATAATTTATGTGACAACACAAGGTTAGCATAAACCAGGGGTAGCTAACTCCTCTCCTCAGCTCTTGGTGCCTTAGTAGAACCTCATGCATCAAACATTATGAGTGGCTGCTCAAAGGCTTCACACATCTCCTACCTTGGTCATTTTTCAAATCTTGTGCGTCAATCTGACACTGGCCACAAACAAAAGGTTACTGTCAGCTTGCTGCTGAAGTAAAACAAAAATGCAATGGAAAATCCCACACAGCACCAACAAGTAGACAAAACTGTAATAATCTCCTGTGGACAAATCATGGTCCCCAGAGGACAAAGCCCAGGGGTTGATAATTCCCTAACTTTCCCTGTAGATAGTTTTTAATGACCTCTAATTAACAAAAGTGAGGGATGATATGTGAGATGGCTTCTAGAGAAACTGACACTGGCACTGACACAAACCCAGACAATCATTCGATATTCAAAAACTGCTACATATGTATTTTCTATATTCTGCAACTGCAGTCCTCCACACTTAGACGCACAAGTGAAAACGTATCACAGAGCAGATATGATCCCAGTGGGAATAGGAGCTTTAGAGGCCGTAATTCCCATTTCCCTGGGAAAGACACTGCAGTAGATTCCAATCACACCATCAAAGGTCTCCTAAAACTGAGTCTTCAGAACAAATACACAGCTTAATGTCTTCTAAGATGAGCTGCTAACCCGCCTGTTGTTTTGGTGTATTTTTGTCAAGTTTTTTTTTAAGTATTTATGAGCAGAAGATAGTCAGGAAAAAACTTACAACCTTGTATAAATTGATCTAATAATTTCCACATTTGAGAAGCTTAACATGATTTTTTTAAGAATGTTAGATAATAGTCCTGTAGTATGCATGATGATGGGATTGAACTGATATTTCAATGCTTTTTACCTTGTGGAAGGTAACTCTAGGAGTTAAAATCTATTGTTTTATTTTTTGGTATTACTTGTTTAATTGTCTGTTGTGACTTAATTTCCAACAATATCTCAACATTTCACTAAATCACAGCTGTCCTTTCACTTGCTGTTTTTCTCAAAAACAAAATGATGGCAGCTGCTGCCTTGCTGCAGCTGATGTCACCGGTTACCAAGGCAACTAGTGCCCAGCTGTGAAAGTGAGCAAGAGGCAACGTCCAGCACAAGTGTGTGTGTGTGTGTGTGTGTGTGTGTGTGTGTGTGTGTCTTACTTAATGTGCCAGTGGCAATACATTTAGAGGGTTTTGAGGAAACATAAATATCAAACAGGCACTACCTGCTTTTATGCCGTGAGGTCCAGCATATCTGAGACTACATCAAACAGCTGCGACACTTTCATGTATAAATGGAAATAATCTGAAGGTATGAGGATCCCAACTAAACCTTTAATTTAATAAAACATTTAGGAATACAAGTCGTAACTTGTAAAATTCACTTACAATTTGTCTTATCAACCCTTGTTAAGCTAAATCAATCCGCAGCTATTGTTCACATCTAAGAAAAATGGCTGTATCTCATGAACACAGCTGAAGCAATAAAGGAACATGGTGGTGCTATAGCTCCTTTGGTTGAGCAGGTGACCCATATTCTAAAAAGCTGTGTTTGATTCAATTTGTTTTACATATCTTCCCACTTTCCCGTCTACTCTCTACAGTGACATTGGCCAAAAAATAAATAAAAATAAATAAAGGAATTTCACAAGAGTGAAAAAGTTATTATGAGTAAAAAAGCCTTTCTGTGTGTCACAACATGGCTAGGCTTCACATCGTACAGAGAGCAATACATCAGGCTTTGTACAGTGAGAGACAAAAATCCAGTTACGTTTCAGATAGACATTTTGACTCCAGTCAGCACAGGTGAGGGCTGGAGAAGAAGGCTGTCTAATAGTCTCAGAGCATCTCAGTGGTCTCTGAACTGATTCCCAGAAGGGAAGAATACTCGCAAATGGTTAGCTCTGGACACTGCAGATGAACAGGTGTTCTTATTATACTAGTTTCTAGTATATTTGTTGGATGCATGCACACTTGTAGTGTATCCACAGTTACAACTAACTGCGGGTACAAAAGATTTTGATGATTCTACGATTTTGCTGCCAGGCCACACACCACAAAGCGTTCAAGACGCACCTGACAACCACAAAATTCTGGATTTATAGATTTTTTTCCCTCGTCACCTGACCTCTGGTGGTCTTGGACTTTAGTACCAGACTGCAAGCATATTGAATATTGAATAACATTTTGTTAGAATACAATACACAGAGCAATGAGACACCACAATAAGGGCTAGATGGTGGTTATGAATATTTCCCTGCTTATGTTTACTAAACAAAACTCACAGAGAGATTATTTTTATGCCCTTGTAACTATCTGCGTTTGTATTTTCACACAATTACCAAGATAAACACAAGTCACAGGCATATGGAGCACCATCTGCTCTGCAGAACTCCACTGCCTCTGTGACCATTTACTCATGTTCCCTTAGTGCTCTTGTCCTGGTACAGACCCACACAGCTGACCTCTGCCACCATGACATAAAAAACCTGAACTTCTACCTGGTTTAGTGCCCCAGGTCAAGAAAAATACTCTACGCCCTGTACTATAATTTTTTAATTTAATTCCTCTCAGGTATACTTATTATTTTCTTTGAAGACAGAAAAATTAGAGAATGTGCTCCACAAATATTTGAGAATATAAATTATTTAAAAATAAATGAATTTTAAAAATCACACAATGCAACTTCTCATTTAAAGTTTTGATTTTACAGCAAAGGAAAAAGACATCTAGACGGGAGCATACAAGTTATATGGGTTGTAATTTCTGATTCTGAAGCCAAAATGATGCCATTATTTATTTTACACACACCTTGTCTGCAGCTTTTATTTCCAAATTCTATAACAAAATAATATAGAATAATTAGAAAATAAAAAAGTATTTAAATTACTTGTAGTGTGTCTAATTTATTTTTACTGTTCACAGTTCAGTCCATACCAAGTGTTTGGACAAATACACATTTTTTTATTTTGCCTTGGACCAACCATAATGGATCCTAGACCAAACAACCAGAAACGTGGTTTAATTGATTAGGAATTACAACACAGTGCACTATTTTCAGAGGTAATAGCATCTGAATTGATAAACAAGAGTGTCACAGCCAGGTGAGGGCCGTTTAAGCAGGTAAAGTAGAGTAGTGTTTCACTTGTATTTGCATTTGGTTCACTGACTTACCTTATATTTAAAATGATGCTCATTTTTCCACTTTTAATTGAATCTCTGAAAATGTGGGCCTGTGTATAAACATGTAATTGCATGACACATGCGTCTTTTAATATAAATGCTTAGTTTTTAATAGTGTCCAGCCGTAGCAGCGCCACATCTAAGTGAAACCAGGTGAAATGAACCTAAATACATGTGTAATCTTTGTAAGGTTGTGTGAGGAAAACTACTCACCTGGATCATGTAGAGCTGAGCAATGCGGTACTCCTCCACACTCATAGGCATGGGGATCCGATACTCCTTGATCAGCATGGCTGTGCTTGAGTTGAGCTGACACAGTTAGTGTGTGTGTCCAAAGAGGAAGCAGCGCGTAAAGGTAGATGCTCCTGTCAGTCGGCTTTGCTACCCAAGCTGCATGTTCAAGCAGGAAGAACGGGACTCATTATTCACACCTGAAACAGAGGAAAAATGTCCTTTCAGCTTCCAGAGTTACAGACAAAACACAGGAAGAGTTTGCATGTTTGTCTCAAGGATTAACCCCCCCCACCACCACCACCACCACCCTCCCTCTACATACACAAGCCAACACATACAAGGTAATCCACTGACCCAGGAAACGCGCTGAAATCCCCCAGCAACCTAAATCCCAACTCTGACTACAGACCAAAGATGCAACCAAGTTGTGTTCAGTGCTGCCTTTTAAATTACTCTTCTTGTCTAGTGATAGAAAGCGCATGTATTCAAGTATCAGGGAGCCACAGCGCTGAGGTATTTTCTTATTGTATTATACTTCTACTTATAGTGCATTTCAGATTGAAATGTTGTACTAGTTAAAGTTATTAGAAATTTTACTTACATTATTATATAGGGGGAAAAACATATAAGCTGTTCATTTAAAATAATGCATTCCATAAAAGTTTCCTGGCATTATCTGGTTCACTTGTCCCCATAGAGCAGGTTTGGCCAACATTTTAATTCCAGAGTTCTACTGATACTGATTTAGATGAAGTGAGCAAAAGGCCGCATTCTTTTTGTTTCTCTTTTACATGTGTGTTAGCTAATCCGAGATGGGCCCAGGCTATGGTTTGTATTTTTCCCATGTGTACCTTAGAGAGACTGACATGCTGGACGACTGCTCCTCGCTGAGCCTGTGATCTCTATTCTGTCGCCAAGTGCTTTTGCTGGGGTTCTCTCTCCGATTGTAGCACCTTTACCTTTACCCCAACAACACAAAGCTTCTTGAGGTGACTATTGTTGATACTATTGACTGGTGCTACACTATATATAAAACCGAATCGATCTGTTGGCTTGCATATTAAAATACATTTTTAAATAACCAGTTTTCTGCAGTTAAATTACCATTTAAATGTGGGAATTTTAATTGCAAAAGTAACTTTAGACTTTAAAAAGGCAGCTCATCCAATCTCTATGAGTCTGACAGCTCTGTGTCCGCAAGGAAGGTGGAACCAAGTGTTTTGACTCAAGTGCTCCATTAAAAAAAATTAAAAAATAAACCAAAACCGCCATCTTTACTTTACATCATTATCCATCTATCCTAACAGTGCTGTGAGAGTGAGGGTGATGTACCGCTTATTCCCCCTGCCGTTAAACAACCAGAGGAGGGTCACATGACAGTGAATTCTTAATCTTAGGCAGATGATGGTGGACAGTAACTCTAATGCTGAGAGGGGAAAGGGTTAAGGTAAGGAGCTGATGTCAAATGCGAAGTGTGTGTCTGTCCATCTGTGCACGATTAAGCTGTGCGTGTTTGTTCAAGCTTCTATAGCAAATGAACTGCAGTGGTCAGGAAGTATAGATTGACATTAAAGACTTCCTGGAGTCTTCATTTGCTTATTATTATATTTAAGTTACAGCCATTTTTAAAATCTGCCAAATGACAGTAAAACCCCAGCTGATAAACCACAGAATTTGGACTTTTTTTTTTTTTGGAACGGCAGAATTCTGAGAAAGAAAAAACTGAATTCTAAAAACAAAAACTCAGAATTCTGCAATTAATGTCAGAATTCTGGGGGGAAGAAAATCCAAAACGCCATCTGTGTTTTTTCCAGATGGCAGGTTCATACAAGTTCCAGCCCAGTCTCATGGAAAACAGGAAACTGTGAAATAGTTATGGATTTTTTTTTATTTTTTTTTTTGGTTTACGTTTATAAGAAGGTCACATTATATTGTCTTTAGCAAAGATGTGTCACCCTGGCAACCAAGAATACAAAGCTTTGAAAAAACAAATGTAAGCTTTTATTATGGTCTAACCTTAAATAGTTTTTGCTTCTAAGTTTTTGCTTATATTTTTAATATTCCAATTTGATTGCCAGCACTGCAAACAGGAAAATCTGACCAGAAAAACTATTACAAGATGTAAAACAACTGCATGGCAGGAGGGTTCTTTTATTTGTCTGAACAGTCCATGCCCCAGGAGCAGTTACATGATTCAGATCTATGCCCAATACTATACTTTTAAATCATTTCATTCAAAGATTGATTTCTTTTACACACATCTACAATGGATAAATAATAACAAACAACAGGAGCAGGTATAAAATATTTGTCTGACTCAACAACAGGACGAACAGTGAAATCCAAGCTGCCCTCCAGAGGCTGTAATGTATGACCTTATTTACAATGCAGAGACAGTTTGTGCTCCGGAGCAGTTACAGCAGAGAAACTGAGTGACATTTCTCACTGACTCCTGTGAAGAGTGAGTCCTTGGCCCACAGAACAGCTGCTATGCAGCAAGAATCACTAAATCCACATAATGCAAAATGTGAGACAGTGGCAGATGAGCCCTGACATGTAGACATAAACAGACGCATAGTGTCATGTATGATAAACTGGCTTTTTTTTTTTTGGCAAAAGGATGTGAATTATAGAGGAGAGCTGCCAGGATATTACTGTAGGGGAAATGATTAGTTCACTGACAGAAAATGAATCAATTATTTTAAGAATGGGAGATGCTTTTTCTTAACAAACAAAATCATTTCAAGTAGTTTTAAATATAAGGATAGTCATTAACAGATTAGCTATCTTTCCTGGTTTGCATAGGTCTTGTGCACAAGTGTAGCAAATCTCAGGTTTATATGTAAGTTGTTAAAATAGTCTAAAGTTGCTTTTATTAATTACAGTACAAACAGCAGCTCCTACAAACAAATAAGTCACATGATTTCCTATTAGAGGGACTGCTTTTAGTGGTGAATTTGAAGCTAATTGCCACTGTCTTTGCAGGGCATTTTAGCATCTTTCAACTATAAGTTTACAACTCGTAGAGCAATGCTATAATAAGCCCCAATCAACATCTGCTCACCAGACACAACATTTCACTGTGGCACCAGGACAAAACCACATAATAAAGAAAGATTATCCTCTATAGACTCCAATAAGTGAGAATCCCACATGGTTCCCAGATCACCATGAAGGGCTGCATGTTGGATGGCACAAAATTTTCTTCAACACAGTACCTAAAAAAAATACAAAATCTTCTTGTACAACTCCATGGAGTTGTCTCTTGTTCATACATTTTAGAGTAACATTTTATTCAACTTCTAGCTTTAAACCAGACATCAAATAAGTTATGAACTAGAACAAGCGATCCATGTTTATTTTCTCAAACAGCAGATTGATTTCTTGCTAGTTTTAGCAGACAACATCACATCACCCCAGTCTTAACTTCTCTACATTAGCTTCCTGTATGTTTTAGAGTTGATTTTAACATCTAAGATTATCATTTTTTAGGCACCAGCTTGGTACCGAGCGGTGGGGCTGTCTGGCTGTTTCAAAGCCCAAACTTAAATCTACAGAAAGATAAAGATATAACTGTGGAAATTAGGCTTGAAAAATCAGAAACTTCCTTGAAACCACTTCTTCCGAAGCACATTTTTACAGGCTTGCTTCTTTGTGACGTCATTACAATTTTATTTCGTCTTTTATAGTCTTGTATTAACTGTTTATCATCTTTCACTTGTTGTCTTTATTATTTCCCTATATTTTACTCTTTTACTGCTAATTTTTTTTTTTATTTTACTTTCTGTTTTTTATTATGTCTTCACTTGAACTTAATTGTATTGACCTTATTTGGCCCTAATATTTGGCTTTCTATCTGGAACTACCACGTGTGAGTATTCTGCTTTTTCTGTTTGCCAAATTGCTTTGCAAACTCTATTTTTAAAAATACTGTACAACTAACATTTATTATAATCAAAATCACCAGTAAACTCAAACAGAGTGTTGACTCCGTGCAGCAGCTAGGACTTTCCTGGGTAGATTCAGAAGCTTTCCAATTGAGCTCGAAGCAGAAAATTACAGCTGGTCAGAGCCTGTGCCTGCCTATGCAGAGAAAAAGAAATGTCTCATCTGCACCTCTGAGAGGATGACTAGCTGCCAGCAGCCATCTATCAAAGTCCTATGTGATGGGAGGCTGAGAAAGCCTACAGCTAAACTGTACTAAATTTACAGCTGAAGCAGCTCTGGTCAAATAGAAACAGCAGCTTGTTCCTGTGCACCAAATTGGAGCACAAGCCACTGTCTGGAAAAAGGCACACCCACCATTAGCCCCTTCGAATCTAACTTAAGTCTTTAGCCCACAGTCCAACAATAGATGCTGATGTTTCAACCTGAATGACAAAGGTTGCGACAGCTCATCTCTGGGACAACTGCAGATAAAACCAGAACGTATGGGACACGATCTGCCACAACTTACAGGTTATTCCTCGTAAAATGGCAAATGTGACCTTGGTCCTGAGCACAGTTAGGTTGAAGACCCAGACTAACGAATAATCTATGAAAAATTGTGTTTCTTTCAAATTGGTGATGGACATAAGGATGGACAGACACACATCTCGCCATGGCACAAGCTAATCACACACTTGTGCTAAAAACCAAAAAGATTACAAGGCTACTTACAGCACATGTTGATGAGTTTGACAAACAACTTCGACTGATTCTCCAACCAGTTTGTTTGAGCACTAGGGTCAATAGAAATTAACAGAACATGAACATATTAGGTTTTTTCAAACTTGACACCCTCTCTCTACCCACTTCCACTTCATTTGTGTGTCCGTGTGGAAGGTCCCCCTCACTGAGAACCATTCCATCCCAGTGAGTGGAAGTGGGTTATGAGATGATCCGCCAGTAAGTCTAGATTGATGCTAAAGATACTGACAATGTTCAGGGTCATGTTGGGCTCCTCATGGAAGATGCCCTGGACAAATGTAGCATACATGAGACTAACTGTACATTTATTAATAAACTGATCAAAGATAGACATTTTATCAAACAGGCACCAATAACATAAGCATTATGTTGCATATGCACCATTTCTCTAGTCTCTTAAGCTCTCACCTCTTAAACTAGCTTCCTGATCCTGATTCTGTTCTTTTGATCGTTCATATTTTAGGCTCTGTATCTAACAGGAAAAAACACATTAACATGGCTGTTCCTGTGATTTACTGGTAATTCAGTTCAATTTGTAGAAAGTGTTTACTGGGACTTTTGCACATTCGATTCAAAACCAAGATGCCTACAATTCAAAGAAGCTGTTTAAAACCCACCTTAATGAGCGCTGCTTCATTCAGCTGAGAATGTTTAGTTTGTGAAAGGTGCATTGTCATCAAGTCCAGAATTCAACTTTTTTTTTTATTTTGGCCTCACAAACACCTGAGGGGAAATCTCTGGCTCTGTAGCTACTAAACGGTGCATGATGGTCACCAGCTGGTCTTTGTGTGTGTCTGCTTTTTGCAGCTTTTGTTTGTTTGTTTGTTTTTTATAGTTGTCTTAAACCTGCTGCCAAACAGCCAACAGAAGCAGTGAAGCTGGAGCCAAACAGCTCTGTAGAGCCAAGAGCAGATCCAGTTTCAGGAGATAATTCTCCTGTCAGTGTTTTCATACTTTTATTACAGGCTTTGTTATTATGCGATTATTTTCTAACAAAAAAAAACATGAATAATAGACCCACAAATAATTGGGTACTCTGACTTCCTCCTACAGTCCAAAAACATTAACTGCTCATTCTAAATTTTCTCTCAGTGTCAGACCTGAGATGGACTGGCCCTTCCATGGTGTACCCCACCTGCCACCTCTCACAACCAGCCTCCCTGAATTGAAGTGGTTAAGAAAAATGGATAGATTAATTTAAGGGGAAAAAATCCTCTTGTGGAGCTCTTTTTAAGCTTTCAGTTACTTGTATGCACATCTCATATTGAAGTTTTTTAAGTTCCTGTTCCTCTGCCAAGTCCCCTGAGTCTGTGCAAAGTACATGGCCAATGAAGGTGACCCATAGGGGGAATCCACATGACACATCCACTCCACTGCATTTGTTCTCCTAATAAAGATATAAAAGAAGCAGAAGAGTTAGTTAGAATGAACAGTGTGGCAAACTGTTACCTTTTGCTTATCTTTTTTGTTATCTTTTTCTACAAAAAAATACGATTTCTGACTCAAAACAATGGAAATCTAAGCTATGCGTCCGATGCTCTCAGCTTACTTCGGGGGGGGGGTGATCCCCTGATCCCCTGATCCCCTACTTAACGTGTTCCCTCACAGATCCTCAAACAAACCCTACGACCATGATATGAATAATGTGTTTCTCTCACAATCACATACACAACATCTAAGAGCAGGAGGCCAGTGCATCATCTGTTTGTTACACATCACAGTCTGATGCATCAGGATGCATTTGATTTGATTCTTTGGCACTTAGAGGAGTCGTGCTACACTGACAAGATCCCCCGATGGGATTGTGCTCTACATTCAGTAATCATAGCACACACTGATGTAAAACACACCACAACAGTCTTCACATGAGAACACACATGCTGGGGCACAACATCTGCCACATACACACAGACAAATCAACAGCAAGTCTGATTCCCCCCTGATTTCATGAGATACCCCAAGAGTCAAGTACTGTACTGTGTGCGCTCGTTGCGTAATTCAGTTTTCCTTCCACACTAGCTGCAGATGTGGATTTCATAGACCGCATTTACTGCCTAATATTCCAGTAAGAAATTAGCAAACGATATTTGCGCTACTCTGTACAGAGCAGAGTCTCATATGATGATCTATTATCATAACTCAGGCATGAAAAACTCAGCGTGCAGCACATCATCACCACCCAGCTTGCAGCCACAGGATGTTAATGACATGATGTTTCACCAGATCTAAAGGTTTATATTTTGATTCTTTCAAGCTAAATAATCAACATGCAAGTTGGTTCACACAATTTGCAAGATGAGGTAATTTTCTTTCAGATATTTGGCTACAACCTGTAACTGGCATTTTCCCCACATCCACAGAGTTACAGTGTTTGATTATAGAAACGTTAAAAAAAATAAAGTTTTTCCTTTTCTTTCTTTTTTAAAGTGGTATTTGATAAAGAAAGCTGAATACTGCTATAGCCCACACATCAAACATGAATCCATTACTTATTCACAGCCATAGTTTCCCACCTGCAGATCCTCACTCCAGTCAGCCTTGACCACAGTGAACCACAGTCCAGCAGGCAGCTTTTATGTTACCATCTGGTCATTTACGTTCATAACAGTGCAGTTTGGAGGAGAAAACAAACGAATGTTCCATTTGGCAGTATTTCATGTATACAAGCAAATAATCATGTATAATCAAATAAATCATTTGGGTGTTTACCTCAAAGCTACCCAACTGATCCACTAAATACAGGCTTAGGGTCCATTGCAGATTCCAATCCTAAAGAGAATCCCAGCGCACGCACCCTCGCTTCCCTTCCTCTTCCGTCTTTGGTCAGCTTATCTTCACCGGCTCACCCCCGCTCTGGTAAGGAGCTTCGCTTTCTAAATTCTCACAGTGAAATCAGAGAAGATATCGATTCTCTGTCTCTCCTCTATCTCCTTTCTCCTCCCATCCACCTCTATTTCTCTTCTGCGCTCCCTTTTCTGCCGTCTCCACCTCTTTGGGACTGAGGAAGCTTTGTTACCACGGAGACGCATGAGGCTGTGGCCTGATTGGTGGAGTTTGTTGTGATGCAGCAAGTCGGCAGTGCAGCCCACTAGATTGATTGCCTTTTCAGTCAGAATCGTTGTGTAACGCTGAGCCAGAATAAGCTTACTAAGTGGAGATATATAGGAATTTATTTTCAGTAAAGCGGGGGATTACAATTCACTTTCAGTGTTACATTACTTGGTTGTGTATCACAGAAAAGCCCGTGGTGGAAAGTATGGAGGACTGTGAATGTCAAATTTATTTAACTCCAAATTAAAATACATACTTTACAATGTAATTTAGCAATCTATAAAAGACTAACTCAGCACGTTTTGTCTATTACATTAATTGATTAATTTTATTGGATTAAAAAAGGAGAACAAGCAGAAAGCCAGTTTTCACAAATTATGAAAATAATTGAAAAGATTTCAATAAATATAATTTTGCCTTTTTTTTTCCAGATATGAAGCAGATTAAAGCAATAAATGCTCACAGTACAGAAGATGGAAATAAATCATCCATCCATTTTCTCTGAATAATCCAATTCAGCCTCAATAGGGGAAGTGTCTGTCACAGGGCTAACACAGAGAGACAGGCAACCATTTCCACCTATGGGCAATTTAGAATCACCAATTAACCTAATCCCACTAACTGCATGTCTTTGGACTGTGGCAGGAAGCCGAGTACCTGCAGAGAACCCACACAGACACCAGAAGAACATGCAAACGCCACACAAATTAGCTCAAGCTTCTTGATGTGAGGCAAACCATTTTTGCTTTGAAAAATATTTTCATGATTAACCTATTTGCTAAAAAGACTGCAATTAATTTTTTGATCAATTTACAGATAACTTATTGTAGCAACTTTTTTTCAGCCATCAATCACATAACAACAAACAAAGATGAGTTTGTAGTGAAACAGTCCCATTTTAGCAGAGGAAAAACCAGCGCAATTTTCCATTTGTATTTTAAAAAAATGACTTAAAAATGACTTGACAAACTCAGAAACAAGATCAGTGCAACTTCAGTCTAATTTTTCATTTGCAGCAAATTGCCCTAGACTGAAGTTGCATTCACCAATAGCAACCAAGACACCATCTTTTAATTGCTTATGTATTATTCAACGACAGTGTCATTTTTCAGTCATTTTTATAAACCTTTATAGGAATGGCTTTGCAAATCCCTTTTTCTTTTTGTGCATTTGACACATTCTCACAAATCCTTGATGATGGGATCTTTTTTAAAGACAACATCAGAGGTGATAAGGAGTCAACGTGTGAAGAAAATGTGTGTGCATCACGTTTTAATGGGAGCTCTGAGCAGCAGATTGGTTGCTCTGATGATTATGCCTTTGTTTGCAAGGCATCGTGACTGTCCTGCCTTTGGTGAGGTGCTTTGCTTGTGCTTCAGCCTCTGAGGTGCATTTTGAACAGCTTCAGAATGAGTCAACTGAGTGCTGTGAACACAGGTATTTCCTTTTGGTTGAGCAAAATGATACAATTTATACAGGTAATTCCACACTGCAAATAGCCTTCTGAGATATTCAAAAATCATCATCATCATATACCTTCTATGCACACAAAATTTGATGTGCATAGAAGGTATATTTTAATTTATACATACCCTTTATTTCTTACAGTTCTGTCACAAACAGTGACTCCTGTATACTGCTTTTGAATTTCTTATTCTGTCCTTTGAGTTTTCTGTCTTCCATCTACCCATATGTGCTTTCCTTTTATAACCTTTCCATTTTTTTGTACTTCCTCCAAATTTTAGACAGCTGAGTGGAAAAAATCAACATCTTTTGTGTGAACTGTGTCAGATTTTCTTCTCGAGAAAGCTTTATAATCCTTTCCATTGTTTTAAATGACAGCTCTCTTATTAGGGCCATTTTTCCTTTTAATGAGCCTGGTGCAATTTTGCATGTTTAGCTTTTGCAGAATTTGTTTTAGTCAAGCAGACTACACAGTGAAGCAGGGAAAGTTGGCAAGCATAATGATTTGAGTAAGTTTGACATGGGCTACATTTAGATTGGGAGCGCAGGTCAAAGCATCCCCAAAACTGGAGCATTTGTGGGTGTTTCGGCTCTGCAGTGGTTAGTATTGTCGAGAGACAGACTTCCTGTATTGGGGTCATGGGCCACGCAATCAACAGTATCTATCAAAAATGGCTCAAGGAAGGAACAGTGGTGAACCATGGGTCATGTAGCCTCTTTCAGTAGTATAATGCCCCCTGCAACAAAGCAAAAGTGGTTCAGGAATGGTTTGAGGAGCATAACAACAAGTTTGAGGTGTTGACTCAGCTAAATTTCAAAGATGTTAGTCCAATCAAACATCTGTGGGATGTGCTGGACAAACAAGTTGGATCCATGTAGGCCCCACCTCACATCTTACAAGGCTTAAAGGATCTACTGGTGACATCATGGTGCCAGATACCACAGCAAACCATCAGAGGTCTAGTGGAGTCCATGCCTCGATGGGTCAGGGCTGTTTTGGTAGCAATAAGGGAGACCACAACACAGGTCGTGGTCATAATGTTATTCCTGATTGGTATATTTAAGATTTGTTCTTTTGCTACAAAGCTGAGCTGAATAAACGTCCTGAATGACCTTGGTTAACATTGACTATAGTCAATAGTCACCTTATTTGGCATATGGCTCAGCTGTAGAGCAGCTGCAAGAGTCAATCACAGAACAGTGCAGGCATCAGTAGAAAATCTACATGACATTAAATTCAAACTTAAGCAGCACCAGAGGAGCAGCTGGCGTTGAGGTTAGTTTAGGGTGACCAACCGACGTCCACTTTTCACGTTCTGTCCGGGACGTCCGGGGGATTTTCGAGATTGATGAAAATGTTTTTCCTATAGTCCGACAGAGGACCCATGTGTTTGAAGTCATCCCTGAACTGCTGCTTTGTGAGCGCTTGTTCTGCGCTCACAGACAGGACAGACCGTGCGCAGCAACACGCCTAACGATGTTTAAAAGATGCCAAAGCGCAAGTGCATCATGTCAGATGAACTGCAAAAGAAATTTCCCTCTTACTGGCCCAGTACTGGTAATTTTTCTTGTGCAGATGAGGCATTATTTCTGTCCCATTATTTAATTCCAGAGGCTTTTAAGGGTTTGTTTGTTTTTTTGCGCTCGTTGGCTTGGCATATGCCTGTAAGACATTTTTTGTCCACACGTAAACGGCGTTTCAAATCACCGAAAACTGAGATTTTTTTTAAAACTCCTGCCAGGTTGGAGTTTTTC